TTTAAATATATGGGTAATTTTGTCAAAGTTTCTAATATTTAATATTACCTTGTCCGGAAAATTGAAATTTGAAGATAAAAAAACAAAGCAGATGACAATAAAACTGATCGCCCTAAAGCATCACAGCAAAGGCCATTGTAACCCGATGCACCTGAGTTCCGTGCAAATTGAAATGCACATGCGTTCCCCCATTTCTTGCCCTTTTGCCCACCCAGATCGGATAACATTCATTCGTTATTGAATTGCTACCACATGCCAAGATTGACAAGAAATCAGTGACACCAAGCCCTTGGATGCTGCAAGCTGGACAAACCGCCCAAGTAGCCAATGCATTTCAAGTCCACGTAAGGACCATATAAGGCTCCAGCAACAGTACCAAACCACCAACACTACAGGTGACCGACCACATAGCGGAAGACCAAGGTTCACCACCCGACGTCAGGATCATCAGATTGTGCTACAGCAACTTCAAGATCACTTTGTTACTGCTGGGGAAACTGCTCAACAGACCAGGGGGAAACCCCAGTGACACATTAGTGTGGACACTGTGCGTCGACGATTGATGAGCAGACACCTCCACTGTCACAGGCCACACCAAGGCCCCATTCTGACACCATGTCATCGCCAGGACGGTCTTCAGTGGGCAAAACAGCACCAGCATTGGCGCCACCAGCAGTGGAGAAGAGTCCTCTTCTCAGACGAGAGCCAATACTGTATCTCAACAACAGATGGCAGAGAGAGAGTCTGTCGACGCCGTGGGTAACGTTATTTGTATGCTTGTGTTGTTGAGAGAGACTCATGGGGTGGTTCGAGCATCATGGTGTGGGGTGGAATTGGTCTTGCAGAGAGGGTCGGCCCTGTGGTCTTCCAGAACATCGGTCCAGGGAGATGCAATGGTGTCACAGCAGCTTGGTAAATTGATCAAGTCTTGAGACCACATGCCATACCTCATTTGGCACGTCGCCCCAATCACGAGTTTCAGCATGATAACGCCCATGCCCACACTGCGAGAGCAACAAGAGACTTCCTCCAGTAGAATGGCATCAGAACCATGCAGTGGCCTGCCCTCAGTCCCGATTTAAATCTCATTGAGCTCCTGTGGGATGAGTTTCAAAGACGGCTGAATGACGTCCGACCAAGGCCGACAACTGCAGCTGAACTGCGTCAGGCGTTCCTCAGAGTGTGGGCTCAAGTGCCTATGGCCTTCATCAACCGCCTCATCCATTCCATGTATCGACGTTGCATGGCAGTCATCAATGCACATTGCGGACACACGAGATACTGACTTGTGATGCCATTTTCTCAGAGGCTAATGTTGTGTTTCACGTTAAGAACATTTGACAATTTTAATTTCAACCTTGCCAAGTTTCATCTTTTTGATATGTCTCAAAGTATGTTTACAGTGTTTGGACAAAAAAGGTCTCTTATATATCTATCCATGGGGATGTTTCTTTTGTGGTTCAGTATATACTCATAAGAAATAGAGAATCTCACCCGAGTGTCTTTTGATATCAAATATTTCTAGTCAGGTTGATGAAAGTGGAAAAACTCTGACGCTTGCCAGGGAGTTTTTCTGATAAAAGTTTTTCCGCTTTTATCAACAAGTGTGGATACATTTCATACCAAAAGACAGAGGGTGAGATTTTATCTATCATCCAACATCATTCTTCCAACCTTTTCAGTTTGTAGACAGTAAAAAGCAGTATCTTAAGTGTAAAAAGTACTGGTTAACAGCTTCAGTTGCAGAACCATTAGTGTTGTCATTTGATTGTGATTTCATGGTAACCAATGACGTCACAATGGTCTGCAAAGTACTGTGATGCAATTTCAATGGAGCAATATCCACTATACATCCATGAAGTTCCATATTTTTAATATAGATCGCGATTTCCTGCTTAAAACCTACAGAATAACATGATTTAACCAAAACCTTTCGTAAAAATCTGAAAATTATCAAACATGAAGACAGTATCGTTGCTGTAATTTGATTGGCTGCCTTAGGTCACGTGCTTAAATTTGACCAATCACGAACCTTGTAGCAGATTTTGGCAAGAAAACGTCAGGAGAAACCAATTTTTATCTGATATAATGGCATGTTACAGCTACGAAAAGACTCCACAGAATGTTACTTCCGTATTGTCATTAAATCGGTGAAACAATATAAGTTTTCTAATGGATACTGACATGACAGCCTTCGACATACGTATTATTCATATGAAGCTTCGAAAACGGAGGTATTTCCTCATGTTAGTGAGCGGACAGACACAATTATCGGGAAATGGGTGATGACAGATATTATTTGTATTTCTTTTAAAAATAATTTTCCGATTACGTAAACAATGAAAATATAAAAGAAAGTAAGTGGATTTTATGAAATCTTATATTTGCCAAAAATCATTGAATTTTCGCTTCTTTGGTACTTATGAATGTATTAGCTTACATTATTTTAATTTAAAATGAACTTAATGAAGTTGTAAATGAATTATTTAAATGATGTGATATACATAACTTCCATATTTATAAACAATAGGATTAATTAGAACTTTCAAATGGTGTGTAGCCAAACATGTAGCAAAGATATTTTACAAGCAGATAATTTCCTTGATAAATGTTGGCTTCATCTATCACTCAAGAGTCTCTGGGAACTCGGTGTCACAGCAGTAATCTTCTGGTTGGCTGGTGTTGAAAGAGTTAATCGTCCATGCTGCCCAAAAAGTGGTGTATTTCATGCATTTCCACCCTTGACATGAATATTGTTATATTGCCATTTGTGCAAAAGCTGAGTGCCAGTGTTCTTGAAAAATTGAGTTGTTTTACTTTTGTTACTCCAGAATATATTTTTCTTACCTACCTAACCTTTTAGGACAAAAGTCAAGTAATAAATATCTGAGAGGCTTTTTTTTCCCTTTTTATTTATTTATTTGACCTATCTCACTTTTGAAATAAAAAAAGTGTCGCCTAATCGGGGTACCCAGATCGAGGCTTCAAACTTCAAACTCATCTGTAGAGACATTAGTCTTCCACTCTGGAGTCGCTGTAAGGTGCTGCCATTCCGGCGGTGTCCCAAACCCATACCTGTTTACCTCTGCCTTGAGCATGTGAAGTACCTAGGACTGGGACGGGTAACTCGGGTACTCGGGTCGGATGGGTACTGAGTAGGACCTGGGTACCCACAGGACTACCCGGACCAATGGTTAGTCACGTGATATATTGTTTAATGACAAAAAGTAGCTAAAAATCTATGTTTAAACGACAAGTCACTAATATTCGCAGTTCTTCCTGACTACAACGTATTTTTTTTAAGATCCTCTTATGGATATTGTCGATCCTTTCCTCATCATGTCTTCGCAAGTTCAAAAGGCGGTTTGATTGATAGCTTCAAAAAGCATAAAATGATATGCCAAGCAAATGAGGCCTACATCGTAAGAGCGTATGGGTGAGTTTGTCTTGTAGAGCTAATTGACTGGAGCCACCTTCCGGATTGGTTACAAGTTGTGGTTGAATAGCATGACATTGTGTCCTTGTAGCGTAAGAGGGTATTGTCACTCAGGTGCAGTGATCCACCCTTAAAATCACGATTCATTGTCATTGGACGCTCATGTATATCTCACAGTTATAAGACAAATACAGGCTAGGGTAATCTGCGACCCACCGTCAAACCGTGGGATAAATGCATACAGTGAGATAGGATAAGTTTAAAAATTTGTAAATTGTATATTTATAATACTTATCCTAACTCACAAGAACTATGCTTGCCCATCCATCTCCATATCACAATTGCACAGCCTTTCAGCTTCAAGAAAGAGAATGAGGAGGAGGAGAGTGTCAGGTGATCAGCGCATGTGTGGCAAGCTGCACAAGATTCCGGTGCAAGACCTGACTGACTGGGTTGTTGCCATGGTGATGCAAGGGGTGTTTGGAGAATGAAGTTTAGAAGCTGGAAACTTTGTTTTGGGACATTGTTTTTTAAAGTGTGATTAATGCCACACAAAAGAAATGTTTTTTAATATTTCTGGTATCAGCCATGACATTGAATTGACATTGAATATAATATCATAACAATACACATTGAATGTATGATAATAGCTTTTCAGTTTATGGGTCAAAATGTACCTGGAAAATACATAAATATTTTCTATCTCAGAATCAAGTCATTATTCTTTTACTAAATTGTGTTCATCAATGTTCACTGAATGATTGATAAGTTGAATGTATTAATGTTTTTGACTTCTGGCAAATGTTTTTACTTGGATTGTTTGAGCCTCACAATCAGAAATATTAATAAAAAAATCACTATAGTTCATCACAAGTAATCTTGCCTATGCAATCAATCACAGTCTACAGTGTTATAACAATTATTTTGCTGGCAAGGTGTAACACTTTTTTATTTCTTCCCTCAAAATAACATTACACTTCATTTATGGTCAGTTTCTTTCATAATGTAGGAATCAATTGGTGATCGCTTCCATAATTCAGTGTATTTGTCTTGCATTTTGGCCACTTCTGACTTGACGTTGCTGTGTGCAGGATGCTGCTTCCTTCATCTTATGGTAGTTGTACTGCATAAATTCACTCCTGAGCATGACAGAACAAGACATCAAGTGCATAGTGTAAAATTACCAATGTCCAACACCAGTTTTATTCATCACTGGACTTAACAAATAATATTTACATATTTGATAAATAAATATTTCACTGTGAATTGGCATATGGACTACTAACGGCTGTTTTAGGTTATGCCCTTTGATGTATGTTAATATTCATGACATAAACATTATTTAATTTATTTTGCGCAAACCTGAAACCACCTCAGACTGAGGTCTTTAATTGAAATATGCAAGAACAATAAAAAAATTGGAATGATATACTTTCATTATGACCAATGATCATGTACATTTGAATGGAATTCTAAATTAAGGGGTGTGTGTGTTTTACAGGTTAGGGTTTGAAATATTTATTTCCAGTTCTTCTGCTTTAGATCGAACACCATGCTCACAAACATCGCCAATCAAAGGCATCATCATCTTCCACTATGGAATATTCTACTACTTCAGGCACATTCTAACCAGCTACATCTGTCGCCAGAGACATTCCATCTCTGTGTTTGGTGTATCTTCATTAATCCTGATTGCCAGAGGATAATTGCGAAGGGTCGCTAGACATCAACAGGGTTCGTTTTGAGAGGAAGTGCCATGGTACAGTGTTCCTGGGCTTCAGATGGGAGTAGCAAAGAATCAACTCCCAGGACTGCCGTACAGATTATTTATCATCCCTACACTGTCTTTAATATTAGGCCAAGAAGATCCGGAACACTTTTCACTCTGCCCAGTTAGAGCTCTCAAGATCTACCTTCAAACATCAAAAGATCTGATACGATCACGTAAGTGTTTATTTGTCCCCTTGCTGACAACTTCGACCATGGAGGTATCCAGAACCACAGTGTTCTTTTGGTTGCGCTCTGTGATCCTTCAAGCTCACACCTAAGGGTGGTTACTGCCTTCATTGGCTTTCAACTTGCATGGGACAAGGGAAGTGGCATCAACCATGGCACTTTGTAGCAACTGTACTTTGGAAACTGAATGCAGCCTGTCAGCACAGATGAGGAAGTATATTCAAGACCATATAGTTTTCTAATGTTTGAGTCTATTAGACTTGTTTGTTTGATTTGGTTAGTTACATCAGAAAACTATATATGTTTCATTAGTCGTGTTTGTTAATTGTTTGCTATATATCAAATAAAAATCAGAAGTAATTTAGTATAATGTCCAGCTACGTATTTAGACATTTCAACTTATTTGATATTTATAATTCAGCCTTAATAACTGAGACCAGTCAGGTATGCTGTTACCTTAAATTAATCAATTAGTTTGTATCTGTTGCTATTGTCTTGTTTATATTTGAATAATTTAGAACAAAGTGGAATCATGAGTGATTTTAGAAGTACACAATTACATGTTGGATCGAGATTGGAGCAGTGCCAACAAAACATAAGTGTATGTCGGTATGTTATTGAAAAAAAGGGTAATGTGGCATGATACCTATGTAAACAGAGCACTGCAACTAAAATAACATGATAATGGAGTACTGGTATATTATTCCTGATAAAATAAGAATTTCAGATACAATTTCATCCAACCATTGCATCAAATCTTTGAAGTTGTATCATTGATTAATTTTTAACTGAATCACCGGTAGATTGGGTGAAAGCGTGTGTACAACTGATTATTTCCGGCTTAGTTTATGAGAAAATGCACATGGTAAGCATTTTCTCTGCATGTTTTGCTGTGGTGAAAACACTTTGGTCCTTGAATTGGGTTTAATTCATTTACTTGGTGTTTAATTTTCACAATATATGCCATACTCATTTTCAACTATATTTGGGATTTTTTCAAGCATATGTTCAGTCCTACTCGTGGAACTGTTTTTCCCACAATATTTGCTTTCCTGCCAATCTGGTTTCCAGTCGTTGGCATGAGGCCATTAGTTTCATATTCCTTGCCTCTACTTGTAACTTCTTCTGTTAGTATCATTTATTTTCCACATTTTTTATGTTTGTGTTTGGTCATCAAACCGCCTTACTAGATTTTTGGCAATGTGCATCATTATTTCTGATTCTGCCCAGGGCCCTCACTCAGTCAGAGACATTATTCAGGAACTATATCATCTCATGCCTGCCCAACAACCCTCCAAGGAGGAGTCCATCTCTAAGCCCAGGATGGATTGAGCAGGTAACGAGGAACCTAAGATGAAGTCCGATACGTTCCATAGTCTGCCTTACCCTTCCTATACAGATGATGTCATCAACAAGATAAACCCATCCATAAATGTTTCCGGAGCAGGCTATATTAGACTCAGTCTCCCGCCTATCAGCAGGAGTGCTTATATGCATGATTCCCCTCTTCCTTGTTGGCCTGTTATTGACGATGACTACCAGTAATTGGTTAAGAGGCCTTCGTCCAAGATGAGTGTGGACTCGGCCAGGTTCAAGGATCTTGATCAGGTCAAGAAACCGGCCCTGAATATTAATGCCTACATTAACTGGGTCACCACGGGTATCAGACACATCATCCTACCCGCAAGTGGAGTTGCCCTGGGACACCACTGTTGACATGAACATGGAACAGGTCAGGTTTATCCACAGCTCCATGGATCATGCATGATGACCTCTAGGCTACTCAGATTTGGATGTCTGCACAGATGCTACTGATGCAACGACAATATTTGGTTCAACAAATACGTCAGCCGATCCCAGAACCTCTTAGCAGGAGTATGCTGTCCCAGACCATCATAGCCCCGACTATGTTTTATGGAAGATTACATTTTGTCATAGACGAGATTGCCCGATCTACAACTTAGAAGTTCCAGAACTCAACAGTTTAGCCAGCAAGATACAGAAACGCCCCGCCCAACCTCAAGCCCATCATAGCTCTCCCAAGAGAAGACAAGATTCCTCGGGTCGTGGTTCTTTGTTGCCATTTCAGTCTAGGAAGAGCTTTACATTCCAACTATAGCAGGCGCGAGCAAACATTCCACCAGCATAACAGAGGCAGAGGTATAGGTAGAAACTCCTCCAGAGGGGGTCCCCGACATAAGTGAAGCCGTACCAACTCTCCCCAAATCTTCCAATCCTGTCGACCAAGCTTTCCACATGGACCACGATTACAGATTATTGATATTCAGAACTATGCCCCTTCCGGGTCCGGTCGGGGTTTGTCTCCTAACATTTGCTCAACATTGGAATCAGATCACATCTCCTCGAGGTGAAAGGCTAGAAGATGCATTTCCAAAAAAGACCAAGTCTCATCAGTCATTCTGTAAGACCTTTGTTCCATCTAAGAGGAGCAAAGTTAGAAGCAGCCATTCACAAGCTTTTAAAGAAGAGGGCTATCACAGCGCTAAAAGAATCAGACACCACCAAAGGTTTTTACTCTCCAGTCTTCCTAGTACCAAAGAAAAACTCTTCAGAAATACTCATGATCATAGACTTAAAGGTACTCAGCAAGAAATATTTGATAAAACCACCAATATTTTAGATGGAATCCGTCAGAAAATTAAGAAAGTCTCTCAGACAAGGAGTTTGGATTGGGAGCATAGATCTACAAGACGCTATCTTCACCTTGCCATCCATCTAAATTACCTGCACTACTTAAGATTTGCAGTTGAAGGATAAAATATATCAATTCCCTTCAGCATCTCCATTGCCCCTTGGTTATTCACCAGGATTATCTCACCCGTCATCGGGTTCACTAATGAAAATCTTGTAAGGCTACAAAGCTACATCACTGATCTCCTGTTCACCTATCAAAGCAAGTTGCAGATCAAGACGAACGTCATATTCCTCATTCAGTTGCTCACGTAGTGGCCAACATACAGCATCAATAGCGCACAAGGTCTTAACTTTTGTTGATGGAGGTTACTCGTTTATATGCCTTGGCAGACTCAGTGAGTTGCAGGAACAAAACATGTCTCATTCCGGGAAAGTGAAACAAGATTGTGCCCATGGAATGGTCCCTTCATCCAGAGATATTCAAGTGGATAACATTGATTTTTGGATACTCCACATCATGATTTCTTCATGATCTGGCTCACAAGATTCCAGGGTACAAAGGTCCACAATCTTAGGACATTCCGTAAAGTGGTCACAGGTTATATATGTAACAAATATTACTAAAGTTCAAGATTAAAAATGCCATAGTCTTGAGTAGTTCAAAATAAGTGTTCAAAACACATAGTTTTTATCCCCCGCCGGACCAGAATGGCTGAAGGGGGATTATGTCGTGGCGCAGTCCGTCCGTCTGTCTGTCTGTCCATCTCATTAAAATCAGACCTTAGTTCTCGCTACTGCTAAACAAAGATCTGAAGACATCCCATTAGGGGTCACGTCAGAACGACCTTTCATCCGACCAATCAGTGCGTCGCTTACCAGATTATGAAAGTGACAGTCGGAATGTGATTTCTAATCATGCAATCTTGAAAACTTTAACATGGGGTATTCTGAACGATAGTTACGGGTTTAACGACTGAATCCTTACAATCTAGACCATCTATTAGCCATTCAAGAATTTTTTTGTTGTTCAGGTTTCAAATTTGTAATCGAGAATTTGTCAAAATATGTTTCAAAAAACTTTGTCGCCAGTTTGAAATTTGTGCCTTAAAGCACGAGAAAGCTGCCTTCTGATTGGTCATTCCATTGGTCGGTCAAAGTTCGCGCAAGGTCGGTCTGACGTGACCCGTAATGGGATGTCCTCATATCTTTGTTTAGCGGAAGCGAGAACTAAGATTTGATTTGAATGAGATTGTCTGTCTGTCCGTCCGTCCGTCCGTCCGTCCATCCGTCTGTCCGTCCCACAGAGGGTACTAAGCTTGTGAAATCAACTCCTACAGTTTCCAGAGAATATCCCTGAAACTCCACACAAAAGATGTCGACATGTTGATGATACGCATAACGAAGTCCCGTTTCATTTCGACAGAGTTACTGCCCCTGTTTTACGGAGCTTCATTTGCCTAATTGTGAGAGAGGGTACTAAGCTTGTGAAATCAACTCCTGCTCCAGCTTTTAGAGAATATCCCTGACACTCTACACACAAGATGTCGACATGTTGATGATACGCATATCGCAGTCCCGTTTCATTTTGACAGAGTTACTGCCCGTTTTACGGAGCTTCATGAAATCTACTCCCCCTCCAGTTTCCAGAGAATATCACAATATCTAACTATAACTATAGTTAGTTTCCTTGTATAAGGCTTTTGTGGGTGAGCTACATCCTTATGGCATTAGCATTCAGACAAAATTACTCCCAACAAAATGTTCTGCACAATTTGTTTCAAATGTAGTGCCATCTACTGTTGTTATTTCATAAAATACAAAGAAAATATAAACTCGTTAAAAAAATTCATGTGGGGGATGTTGTGCTCTCAAAGCACTCTTATTCAAAAAGAAGTTGACTCATAACCCTCCAAACTCCAGACAGATGTTTTAATTTCTACCAACCCACTCTTCACTGTGTGGACTCACCAAGTCATTTCTTGGAAATCACAGAGAGAATTCATGATTCTGCATGATTTGACTTGTCAGTTTTAAGTTTTCATGGATTCAACGCAAGCGTGTGAAAGAAAAATATTGTAACAGTTGTGGCCCAGAAACAGTCGTTCGTGTGTGATTTTCTTTATTGTGAGTGTTCTGAATGGAATCTCATCAAGTTTGATAAGTTGCTATGATCAAGTGTGCTTTGACTTCAGTAATGTCAGAACATTGTTTTCGCCTTTCGAAGGGAGCAAAAGAATCTAGGAGTGTTTTCTGATGGACTTTTAAATCCTCTCCTGCCAAATCCTTACGGTAGATGGAGATGGCAATAAATATCGATCACTAAAAGGTTGTCA